TTTCTCATCCTGCTAATGTTAAGGAGGAACTGAACAAGCAAGTTAAACATGTAGCCTGAAAGAGAACGTCCCCTCCCAGCTTCCCATGTCTTAAATGGTAAAGAAGAGAAGGTAACATAATCCTTAATAAACAGAAGGTAAACAGAGGCTTAGTCTCCATGGTATTTCCAGCACCCAAAGTTTCTTTGATCACAAAATCTATTCTCAACCTCTTGGTTGCCTTTTCTAATTACATGAATGGTCAATTATAATTTGCCATTTTCTAACAGAGCACCAACATTCTTAACTGGGCTTTCCAAGTGGCGCCAGTGGTAAGAGATGCGGGTTTGATCCCCGGCTGGGGAAGATGCCCTGGAGGAGGGCATGGCAACCCACTTTGGCATTTTTGCCTGGAAAATCCCATGGACAGAGGAGCCTGGTGGGCTCCAGTCCATAGGGTCACAAAGACTCAGACAAGACTGAAGAGACTTAACATGCATGCATGCACATTCTTAACTACATTTTTTGGCACATGGAGTCATATGAAGGACGGTATTGTCATCATCAAGTGTCTGGTGATGGTACAAAAAAAAAAACACAAAAAAATTCCCCAGCAACCTAAAAGTGAGGCTTTCATGCTCAAATCTACTGACATTGTCTTCTTACCATTTGTTTTCAGAGGCATCATTTGACTTAATTGATCTATATATCTGGCATAACCCTGGCAATTATTTCAAGAAATGGTAGAAATCTGCTGCTGCTACTGCTGCTGCTAAGTCGTTTCAGTCGTGTCCGACTCTGTGTGACCCCATTGATGGAATCTCCTAGTACATGGGATAAAAGAGAGAGTGGGTTTAATGAGGAGGAGGAATGGGAGTAAATCTTGCACATTTCACAGGCGTTAAGTGAATACACATGTAACTGAAAGGTTTAAAGAGTGGACCTTCTCATTGTGCAAGAAGAAAGCAGTTTCCTGCCCTCTCATAGCCTCTGCACAGCCTGGAAAACTTCTATGCGGGAATATGGAGACCTCTCCTCAATTATCATCTTGCCTCCTTGAGGCTACCTCTGGCTGCTCTTGTGCTGTGGAAAAGAGGAAAAAAAAAAATAGAGTCGAAAAAAATCTCATTTGACTGGAATAGTTTGAGGTGAAACTCAGTTACATTTGAATGGTAAAATATATTTGGCATTTGTTTGCTCTTAGTGAGAGTTAGAACATAAAGAAGGCTGAGTGCTCAAAAATTAATGCTTTCAAACTGTGGTGTTGGAAAAGACTCTGGAGAGTCCATTGGACAGCAAGGAAATCAAACCAGTTAATCTTAAGGGAAATCAACCCTGAAGGGGTTGGAAGGACTGTCATTGGAAGGACTGACGCTGAAGCTGAAGCTCCAATACTTTGGCCACCTGATGTTTAAAGCTGACTCATTGGGAAAGACCCTGGGAAAGATTGGGGGCAGGAGGAAAAGGGGCAACAGAGGATGAGATGGTTGGATGGCATCACGGACTCAATGGACATGAGTTTGACCAAGCTCTGGGAGATGGTGAAAGACAGGAAAGCCTGATGTGCTGCCATCCATGGGGTCACAAAGAGTTGGACACAACTTGGTGAACGAACAACAAATTACTCTTGGTGAGTATTTAAAGCTGCCTACTAATTTCCCCCCCCCCTAAGATGCAACTGTGGATTCTTTGGAGAATCCATCTCCACCTCTTATCACTGAGAATTTCTTACTTGCAGCTTTCTTGACTCAGAGAACTCCTCCATTTCTGCTTGGAATGTCCCCTTCAGCAAGCTCTCTTGCTGGGTAGACAGGTTGGACAACAATAATAAGGATTTGCCCAGGTGGTAGGATCTGAAAACAGCCAATGGCATGTCTTTTAATTTTCAACCATTGTATTTAACCCTTATAAATAGATGATAAATGATTAAAGGACACAACTCGGAGTTTTTTTGTTTTTCTTTTGTCAATGCAGATTTCCTTTTAGGTTGTCAAAGAAATGCTTTGTGAAATTAATATGTATATCCTTGAAAATTTGATTTACGCTGTTCTCATTTTTCAGATAAGGAAATAAAAATCTAAATTTATACAGTTATTCTGTAGCAGGACAAAAGAGTCTAGAACTAGGGTTTCCTACATTTTTAGGACACTGTTCTTTCAACTGTACCATTATGCCATTAGGGTGGATAATTAATAAAAGTATTGTTTTATGAGTGATGTCTGTTTCTATGCCTGTCATATCTTAAGATATTGCTGCATAGAGTTAAGAAGGAGATGAAAGTTGCTCTAACTCAATTCTTAAACAGTCTTTTTAAGATAAGCTTATCCAATCGGAGGGAAGATAAAAGAGAAATGAGACCACAGTAATTACGACATTTTAAAAAACGTTTCTCTAAGCAACCATAAAGGCCTTGTTATGGTTTAAATAGTGAGCAAATCATGTGTGTGTGTGTGTGTTTATATGATGCATATTGTCATTTTGATACATGGCTCTCCTAAGGAATAAAGGTGAAGGCTAAACAACTGCATAATTAATTTTAGTGTTGTTTCCCAAAGCTATTTAAAATCCACACATGAGTATTGCTCTAATCATCAATTGTTAACTATTATTTTCATAGGCCAAATAATTGATAGGAATAATTTAGGCTAATCCTCTTCTCATTTTTCACTTTAATATTTCTCCCTATAAAGTGTTTCTAATACTTAAATAATCTCTGAATATATCTGATATTCTTCATAAACCTGTAATTTGGGATTCTGTTATTGCTTACTTACCCTGGAAAAACTGCATTCTGAAGCAATAGTTGCAGTTGGATTATGAAATACTCTAATTATGTTGAGTAGAGTAGAAATTATTCTTTTTCTGAATATTTTGTAACAGTCACATTAAACAAGATTTTAGTTATTATTATGTGATCCTTTCTAGCCTCTGCTTGCATGCTAAGTCGCTTTAGGCATGTCTGACTCTTTGCAACCCCATGGACTGTAGCCCACCAGGCTCCTCTGTCCATGGGATTCTCCAGGCGTGAACACTGAAGTGGGTTGCCATGCCATCATCCAGGGGATCTTCCAGACCCAGGGATTGTACCCACATCTCTTATGTCTCCTGCATTGGCAGGAGGGTTCTTTACCGCTAGCACCACCTGGGAAGCCCTTCCTAGCCTCTTGCTTATACTAAATTTAAAATGTAATTAGAATTATTATTTTTTTTCACTATTCCTTTTTCTGTAATTAGTACTTCTCTCTCTCCATGTATATATATAAAGATAGAGAGAGTATATATATATACATGCACCCACATATACATATATGTACACACACATTTATATACACATACACATAATGTATATTTTATACAATTTTATCTATAGTTCTCTCTTTATCCAAAGTACCTTATATACAATATATTTGGATTTCTAAGCAACTGTCTGTGTTAAGTATCATCATCAAATACATACAGACTTTATAGGCCTACCATGAGAAAATCAGTGAGCGGACATTCTATGCTATTCCAAAGGGTTAAACTAAGACCAATAGCTAGAAATCACTGAAAGAAGATTTCAGTACATAGTGATAATGGCTTTCTCCTAGTTAAATGCACAAAGGACTTATTGGTGGGGAAGCAATGTCTCCGTCCCCAAAAGGATTTAAGTGAGAGGTTGAATTTATTTGTACTAAGAGAAATCTAAATGGGCTTATATTGAAGTAGAAGACATCTATAATTCGTCCCAACTCTAAAATTTTAAGATCCTCCTTTAGTTCTGATTTCAAATCATACATTCCCATTCAGAAATGAAATTATCTGACTTTCAGGGATTTACTAATAACATGTCGGCCTAACTGACAGCTAATGGGACTGCGATCAGGTTTGACTAGAAATTACTGCCAAAATGTGCAAATAAAAATTCAGAGACTTGGGTGTGGGAACCAGAGATCAAGTTTAACTTCTGAATATGCAAAAATGACTTCAATTTTCTCAGGGTAGAGGCCTTCAGGGTTGGGGTTGAGAAAGTCAGTGTGTGGAAGAAATGGAGCCCTGCTCTGGAAAATGTGGGGCTGCTGCCACTAGCTCAGGAAAGATGAAAGTGAATGGGAACCTGTTGCTACATTCTTCACAAGGTTCAAGTATACTGGCAAGTGATAAATAAAAGGTTTACTGAATTCTGAAGCGATTTTAATCTTGTTTCCAGTTATGACTCATATACCTGTGTGTGGGAGCTCAGTTGCTCTGTCATGTCCAACTCTTTGTGACTACATGGACTGGCCTGCCAGGCTCCTCTATCCATGGGATTCTCCAGGCCAGAATACTGGAGTGGGTAGCCATTTCCTCCTCCAGGGGATCTTCCCAACCCAGCAACTGAACCTGTATCTTCTGCATCTCTTGTGCAGGCAGGCAGATTCTTTACCGCTGAGCCACATAAGAAGCCCAATTTACATCCCTACTTGCTTTCAAAATGAGATATTAGGCAGTTATGATATTCTGTTCCTAATGGAGCCCAACTTCTGTTTCTGTAAATATATCTCAGAAATGATTATGTCAAGCATAATGCAAAAATAAAATAAAATGGAAAGATATACAATATAATGAGGGGGGGGAACTCTGTTTTTTTCATATAGTAAGTGACATAAAATAACTTTCATGTAGTAAGTAACATTCAAAGGGACACCAGTAAGTGACATTCATTTCTGTTTCCAGAAGCTGGTCCTATTCTAGAATAGCAGACAAGAAAGGAAGTTAGGATCTATTTTAGTTTAAGGAGCCTGTCTGTTGCAAGACTGGTTTGGGTCTGTGACTTCTCAGAGGATTTGTTATGATACCTTTATGTGTTTTCCTCGACTGACTAAAGTTTTTATTACTTTGTATGATATACTGATAATATAGCTGCAGGAGTAATAATATTTTGTATTGTATGATAAATACAATCAAACTTGTCACAACAGAGTCATATTCTTCTTCCAGGAACCACTTATAATTTCTACTGAAAGACAAAGGTATCAGAGGTGTGTGGGAAAATTATTAAGCTTTGCTTCTGAGTTTCTTCTTTCCAAAGAGGATGTCATTGACACAGTAGAGGGAACACAGCAGGATTTTCTGGTCCTTACCCAGCCTGACTGGGGTGGTGGAGAATCCCTGTTGTGACTTGCACACTGGCAGATTTTATTATGAAAGTTGAGTATCTCACAATGTTAGGGACAGCCAAATGTCAGTTTATTCCCAGGTTCATGGCGATGAACTAACTTTGAAACACAGGGTGATTGGAGTCGTGATGTGGGTTGCTTCATGCTCTCTAACCCAGTATTTCATAGTCAAGATCTTTCTGATCTTACTGAATGTTACCTCAGGTGGTTCGGTGGCATTTGGCACATTATTCAACAGGATATATCATTCAGTACACTCACCTCATTCCTGTCAAAGAGATGACCTGTTCAAACAAACAATCAAAACTCTAGAGTCAGAAAAAGAGACTCAGATGTATAGAACAGACTTGTGGACTCTGGGAGAAGGCGAGGGTGGGATGTTTCAAGAGAACAGCATTGAAACATGTATATTATCTAGGGTGAAACAGATCACCAGCCCAGGTTGGGTGCATGAGACAAGTGCTCGGGCCTGGTGCACTGGGAAGACCCAGAGGGATAGGGTGGAGAGGGAGGTGGGAGGGGGGACCGGGATGGGGAATACATGTAAATCCATGGCTAATTCATTTCAATGTATGACAAAAACTACTGTAGTGATGTAAAGTAATTAGCCTCCAACTAATAAAAATAAATGGAAAAAAAAATAAAAAATAAAATAAAATATGAAAAAAAAAAAGTAATTAAGACAATATACGCAGTCACCACCCCCCATAACCCCCCACCCAGAAGACTCTCTGGTATCTTCTTAAAAAGCTCAATTAATGTTACAAAGATAAAATGAATCTATGTGATGTTTTCAGAGGCATTTAAAACTTGAGAACTTTCAGAACTAAGAGAGAAATGTTTTAATAAATGTTGATAAAATGAAAAAATTGTATAAATGCAAGTTCCTTGGTTGATATAAACTTAGACGACAAACTCCTTGAAAACAAGGACTGCATCCTATTCCACATAATCGTTAGGCAGTATAAAAATGCAAGCTGACTTGAATCAAAGGAGTCTGTCACGTGTGGACAGCTGTGTTTGTCTTTCATTTGTGGGTAAGCGGAGCAGTGCACACATGACATATTTGTGTAAGGTCATGTGAGTAGGGAAAGACTGACTATGCCTCACAGCCTTCCTCTTCTGCTGTAAAAAAATCTTCAGGTTTTACATTAGATGATTATTAGAGTCCCATGGTAATGTCATACTTGAAATCTAGTCTTTAGAGCTGCCTGGTAGGCAAGAATTACATTTTATAACTCTTCATCCAATATCATTCAATTTGAGTTCCTTTGAGTGACAGTACTGTTTATAATTACAACAGGACAACAGCCAGCGCTCGGACTTGTCCTAAGGCTAACTGGGACATATAGGCAATACATCCTGCACTGTCAAAAGCAGTGTTTAGTTCTGCTAATCCACCAGGGCAGCAGAGCCATCAGGAGCCTCAGCTTTGTGCTGAGGGGTCACTAAAGTATTTTGAATCTACGAGATGATGACAAGATCTGAGATGTGTGGCACAAATATTCTTTATCCACCTTCTAAAACAGACCCAAACCAAGACCATGGTTGACCTCAATGGGTAACATCCACTCAGCTCCCAGTTCTCGTAGGAAATCACAGCATCTAGCCAACCCAGAAATCAGGATGTGGTTCATTGGAAATGCAAATTGGCTTCTCGTTATTAACAGTCATTCATTGCTGTGAAAGAAAGCATTCAGGAACAAAGAGGCAAGACGACATGGGAGTAACACTTGGAGGAATAAAACAAACATTTCACTACAGGCTGCTGAATTTATATCTTTACGCAGTGCTGAAGTGGGCAGGTGAACAAAAAATGTCCGCGGTGTTCACGGGTAGATGAAGGGAAGTACTTTTCCTGCCTCTTGGCTCCTTAAGGTAGGGCACAGAATCCTGCAATGCTGTTTTTGCAGTGCTGTGCATGCCTCTAAGGGATGATGGAGTAGGCCTCCCACTACCAAGTTCAGAGGATCAGAGAGAATCCAGGAAGCTCCTTCAGTTGGATTATGTAGGTTATTAAATTCTGATGACTCTTCTTACAAGATAATTCAGGCAAAAGGAAGCAATGGGCCTGACCCATCAGGGTAAAAAGCTCAGGGCAAGTTATTTTATATGTTGGATTTGAAAAATCATTAATTCCAGTAAAAAGTATCAATAAAGAGAAATGGTCAAATGGTGTTAAAATCTGGAGAGAAAAACACAATCATAGAATAGCATATGGAAGGTGGGACTAATAAATGGGATAGTATAATCTGCCAGAAAAGAATTTGGCCACTTCCCTGGTAGTTTAGCTGGTAAAGAATCTGCCTGCAATGCTGGAGACCCAGGTTCGATTCCTGGGTTGGGAAGATCCTCTGGAGAAGGGATAGGCTACCCACTCCAGTATTCTGGAGCTTTCCTAGTGACTCAGATGGTTAAGAATTCACCTGCAATGCAGGAGATCTGGGTTTGATCCCTGGGTTGGGAAGATCCCCTGGAGGAGGGCAGGGCAACCCACTCTAGTATTCTTGACCGGAGAATCCCCATGGACAGAGGAGCCTGGCAGGCCACAATCCTTGGGGCCACAAAGTGTCGGACACGACCGAGCAACTAAGCACAGCACATAGCACAGTGGAAAAATATTATTTGGAGGTTTTTGTTCTTTGCAAGTTTAAGAGGGCAAAACTGTTTTTTTATAAATTTGTCTGTGTGTATGTGGCTGGCCAGATCCGGCCTTTGTGCATAATATAATGTATGTTAGAAGTGACAATATGCGCAGAGGTAGGGTTGCCAGGATAGTTGTCTTGAGGCCTGGTGAGGTTAGTGTTTTTCTGATAATTTTGTGTTTATTGGGAAGCTTTGCAAGCATTCTGTTGCCCCACTTCAAGATGCCCCTTTGAGTGTTGTGCCTTTAGACACCTCGAATGCTGCCCACATGAGGCATGAGAGGGTTAGCCAAACTACATATTTCTACAATCTGTTGCTGTGAGCTAATAATGAAATCAATGCCCAATAACACATAATTCTGGAGAGCAGGAAGACCTCTGTAAGTAAGGGAAATGGATTCGTCTCACACTGAGATGAGCCACTATGACCTCTGCCTTGTTTTGAAACTAATAATCTTTTATTATTGTGACATTTGCAATGTCTCGTTTTCCCTCTAGCTATCCTCTAGTCCACTTAATTTAGCAAGCACAGAGTTACCATGAATTATTTAGCAACCGGACAGTTGTAATGGTTAGTTACAGCAGTCACATTGTGTAAGAATCAAACTGCTTTAAGTAAAAGGACAAAGTTCATAAAATCACTCCATTCTTAGAAGTACTTTAATAAGAAATAATCTTATTATCTAAAACAAAACAGAACAACCTTCCATTGAAGGATGCTAGTCATTGCCAGTTCCTTGTTGCAGCTGGATCCACTGAAGGATTTAGAACCTTAAGTGTGCCTTAAGTACTGTGGCTCCCTGACTTTATTCTCATCTGGAAAATTCTGCTGCTATAGCCCTCAGACAAGATGCAGCTCCATGCTCTATCTACTATTAGCATATACTTTTGGAACTGATTTCAAATGGGAATTCTTATGGAATATCTGGTTTTAAGTTGAGTATTCAAAGCACATCTAGAGCAAGACATGCCAGAAAGGGTCAGGGTCAGAAAACTGGCTATAAGATTTAACGAAGAGATTAAAACTATTATTCATCTCCCTTCCCTATGTGAAGCTTCCTATCATGCTTTCCAGTGAACAGAGAAACATAGCTTGGCATCCGGTCCCATCACTTAACAGCAAATAGAAGGGGAAAAAGTGGAAACAGTGGCACATTTACTTTCTTGGGTTCTAAAATCACTGTAGACAGTGACTGCAGTCATGAAATTAAAAGACGCTTGCTCCTTGGAAGAAAAGCTATGATGAACCTAGACAGCACTCTATTAAAAAGCAGAGACATCATCACTTTGCTGATAAAAGTCCATATAGTTGAAACTATGGTTTTTCCAGTAGTCATGTATGGATGTGAGAGTTGGACCATAAAGAAGGCTGAGTGCCAAATAATTGATGCTTTTGAATTGTGGTGCTGCTCAGATGGTAAAGAATTAGCCTGCAAAGTAGGAGACTCGGGTTCAATCCCAGGGTTGGGAAGATGCCCTGGAGGAGGGCATGGCAACCCACTCCAGTATTCTGGCCTGGAGAACAGAGGAGCCTGGCAGGCTGCAGTCCATGGGGTTGCAAAGAGTCAGACATGACTGAGCGATTAAGCCTGCGGCTATCGCCACTGGAGAAGACTCTAGAGAGTCCCTTGGAATGCAAGGAGATCAAACCAGTCAATCCTAAAGCAAATCAGCCCTGAACATTCACTGGAAGGACTGATGACGAAGCTGAGACTCCAATACTTTGGCCACCTGATGTGAAGAACTGACTCATTTGAAAAGACCCTGATGCTGGGAAAGATTGAAGGCAGGGGGAGAAGGGGACAACAGAGGATGAGATGGTTGGATGGCATCATCAACTCAATGGACATGATTTTGAGAAAACTCTGGGAGACAGTATAGGACAGGGAAGCATGGCATGTTGCAGTCCATGGGGTTGCAAAGAGCTGGACATGACTTGGTGACTGAACAACAACAGAATAAGAAAAAAGTCAAAATGTTGAGTGAGATAATTTTGGGAGTGAGTTTGTTTGATTTCCCATTTTTTCTATATATTTTTATGGGGATATGGTCAGAAAATATACATGCACTGAAGTGAAAGTCAGCCAGGTGTGGCAAAGCCTTAGGCAAATTTGTGCTCACTTTACAGCCTTGCTACTCAAGGCAAGGTCCCTAGACTCCAGTATTGGCATCACCTAGGAGTTTGTTAGAAATGCGTGGTCTTATGTCCTATTCTGGAACTGCTATATCAGAATCTATACCATAAGAAGATCCCTGAGTGATCTGCACACTAAAATTTGAAAAGTAACATTTGGTAGAGATCATTTGGCTTTTTCTCCTCCTTTTTTTGATTAATCTGGGAATACACTTAGAGAAGACTCATTGGTTTGAACATGGATTGCTTTCTGTAATCTGTAGCGATTCATTTAATGTGGTGCTCTCTTTTTCAACCAGCTGTGTGCTTCTAGGTCACCAATGCTTGCTGTCTTAGGAAATGTTTACACATTATAACTAACTCTGTGGGAGGCACATTCATCTATACAAACTGAAACTGGGAGCTTGTCTTTAAGCAAAATTATATGATATGCATCAAAGGTATCGTGTGATTGTGGAAGTTGACAAGTTATCACCCAAGAAAAGCTGCAAGAAATACTTCATTTTACCACTAGGTGGAAATAGAGTAATTTTGAGTATTTTCTTCAGGGCTATCAACTACTGCAAGACTGCTTCATAAACTGAAAGAGATCTAAGAAATCAATTAGTCTAAGCCTTACCTCCTTAATTCCATAGATGAGAGAACTGAGGTTCAAAGATATTAAAGAAAACTTCATCTGTCTTATAATTGGTTGTCTTGTAGAAGCACTGGGTGAAGAGACGCTAGAGTAATTCAGGATTCTTCAGCCATTTTCACCTACAAGAATAAATACTATTTTATTATCCTCTAGCATGACGGAATACATGATGTGACACCTGTATTTGTGGTCTCTGTGCTGCCACCAAAACTGATGACCAACAGGGCTCCTTCTGCTTTTAAAGACAGGCTGCAACAAAGTTATTGGTACTTCTTCCCTGTGTGTGCTAAGTCGTTTCAGTCCTGTCGTACTCTGTGTGACGCTACGGACTGGGGCCCACCAGGAAACTCTGTTTATGGGATTCTCCAGGTGAGAATACTAGAATGGGTTGTCACACCCTCTTCCAGGAAATCTTCCTGACCCAGGGATTGAACCCATGTCTCTTATGTCTCCTGCATTGGCAGGTGGGTTCTTTACCACTAGTGCCACCTGGGAAGCCCTGTATCCTAATGTAATTAATCTCAACCAAGTGATAATTCTCTTCCCTTTGTCCAATGAAGAGATACTCAACCATTCTGTAGACTGAAAAAAAAAATACACAAACCAAAAGTTGAGAATTATATTTTATTTGGTGAACTTTCTAAGAACTTAAGCCAGGGATTCAGCCTCTCAGCTCTGAGGGACGGCTCTGCAGACATAAGGGAGAAGCCAGGATATATAGCTTTTGCTGAAAATAACAACAAAACAAACAAAAAAACCCTACGTAGTCAGATATCAAAAGATAACTGCTAAACACAAAAATGGACATCTCACAATAATGATTTTAGTGTTTTTCTTTGTGTGGGTAGATGCAAGAGTCTGGGCTCATTGAAATTATTTTTTGATATGCATCTTAACTACCTAGGGCCAGGATGCTGTTTTTCCTCCATCCTGAATCCCTTCAGGGTGCACATCAGGACCACTGTTATATCATGTTGCTGGCCACAGCAACATGCTTTGTTTACTGAAATGGCAGGTGATAGTCTCTGTCTACAATTCCATAAAGTCATACTAGACTTTAATCAGATTTGTTTTCATAGCATTTTTTGTTTTTACATTTATATTGGGTTCAAGTTAAGTAGCTTAGAACAGGACTTTAGTTTGAAGGTTAAGGAAATACTTAGTGTTTTTCAGAGTTTGTAATCCATTACTGGGCTTCCTCGGTGACTCAGCAGTAAAGAGTTCGTCTGCAATGCAGGAGATCCAGGTTCGATCCCTGGGTCAGGAAGATCCCCTGGAGGAGGAAATGGCAACCCACTCCAGTATTCTTGCTGGGAAAATCCCATAGACAGAAGAGCCTGGAGGGCTATGGTCCATGGGGTTGCAAAGAGTCAGACACGACTAAAGCATCTGAGCACAAGGCATATAATCCATTACTATTACTCTTAAGAAAGGAAGGGAATCTGAATTTAGGGCTTGAGGGACCTTAGAAATAACCTGGCTTCAATCTCTCTCCAGGTCTGTAATACAGTTGAGAGGCATCAGAGAACAAGGGATTAAGTGCATTGCTCTGAGTAGCAGAGCCACCACCATGCCCTTTGGCTCTGTCCCATGGGAGACACTAACAGGTATTTTGACCTGTATCTTTGTTTTGTTGATGTGTTTTAACCACAAAAGGATTATTCCCATTTGTTGACTGTAAAAAATGCACAAGCTAAAAGTTGAATGTGTGTGTGCTCAATGGCTCAGTCGTGTCCAGCTCTTTGAGATCCCATAGACTGTAGGCAAAATTGAGAAGTATGTTTTATTCGGTGGAGTTCCTGAGGATTTAAGCCTGGAAGATGACGCCTCCGATAGCTCTGAGGAACTGTTCCAAAGAGGTAAGGGAAGAGCCAGGATATATAGGAGTTTTTGCAACTAAAACCAGATAGTCAGAACATCAAAAGACTACTGTTAAAGAAAACCAGGTATCTCCACTTAATGATTTCAGTGCTTCGCTTTCTTATGTATGGAAAGAGGCAAGAATCTGCACATATTTGTGTAGTTGCTCAGTCTGACTCTTTGTGACCCCATGGACTGTAGCCTGCCAGGCAAGAATATTGGAGTGGGTTGCCATCCCTCCTCCAGGGGATCTTCCCGACTAAGGACCACAACTCCTTCATTGGCATGAGAATTCCTTACCACTGAGCCACCAGGAAAGTTGCAAGAATCTGGGCTCATGGAGATCACTCCTTTGATATGAACCTTACCTATCTAGGGCCAGGGTTCTGCTTTTCTCTGACCCTGAATCCCCTCAGGGTGCAGAGTCAGGGTGGTGTTTAGGCTGAGGCCTGCAACATCCTTTGTTTACTGACTTGGCAGGCCACATTTTTTCATCCACACACTCATCACATCAAAGAGTGTGTTTAAAAGTTAAATTTTGGATAATGCCTCTGGTATAAAAATGATTTCTTGAGTACCTAAGTATTTAGTATCAAGCATGGTTGATTATGATAATCTAAAAACTAGTATTCCAGTACTGAGTCCTGGCTATTATTATAATATTCTATACAAAAATGGGCAAACATGTTGACCTAGCACATTAAGAAGGCAAGTCCAAGCACATAGGAGCTGCTTCTCTGGGAGGCAGGGGCAGTGGGCCATGCTAAGTGTCTGGAAGCCAGCACTTACTCTGCTGGGCAAATGTGCTCAGCTGCCCTCAGAACAGGGACATTTTCTGGGAGCAGTTGAGCCTCAAGTATGGGACATGCCAGCCCTTAGTGACACAACTATGTGACCCGAGTCTCTCAGCATTAAAATGGTGCCACTGGGGAAACTGGGGTAACCCTAGGATTAGGGCAAGAATACACTGCAGGTGAGTAAATGTCCTGAGGCATTCCGGGAAATGACAAACTCAGATTTCAGTTTCTTAGGGAAGGTGCAAGAAGAACTAGTGTCTTGGAACAATTCAGGGTATGTATTCAGTATGTAGCCTCTACTCTTAATCCCATGAAGAGGAGGGTGAGCTTGAGGCAGCCAGGTGTGGTCCTATTTCACAAAGTCTAGAATGAGAGGAACCTGGACAGGAATTCTGGTTCTTCCACTCTGCAAACTTTCCCTGCCTCATTTCTCTTTCAGAAAATTGGGATAATACCCTTGAGTAAAAATCCTGTGGGCATCAGCATTAACAGATATAAAGGGGCCAGGAAGTACAGCATGTAGCAAGGAGGCATTCAATAAATGGAGCTTATCTCCACCAAGGTGGCTAGCCTCTGTGTGTGGCAATTTCCACATCTCACTCCAACTCACTCCCACAGCAACCCAGGAGCACAAAGATCCTGTGACAGGCACACTTGGAAAAGTAGAACGTTCTACTTACAAATAAATACAGGGTAGTATTAAGATTAAAGGAGAAGAGGAGAACCACTGGAGTCTAAAGACTTGGGAGCCTGAGGAGAAATTGTTCAGGGCTCCCCTCAGCTGAAAATGTAAATAATAAAACATACTTGAATGAGAACATTTAATAGCTATGGCAGTCATTTAAACTGATAACCGTATAACAGAGTCAGAGTTTGGAAACCGAACTGCCTGGGACATCTCCCCGCACCCAGGACCTTCTGATAAGATAGCCTAACTCAACTCAGGTTAGATACCCTCCGAGGCCCCAGCTGGGCCGGGAGTGGCGTGTGAGTGGGAACAGGTTATTTCAGGAGGGTGTGGGATGCGGGTTTGTCCCCCAACCCCTCGCCCCAGCAGTGATTAAAGAGGCGAAGAAGTTTACCGATCAGTCAATTAAGCCACTGATAACTCCTGCAATGGGAACCGAACGAAGGCTAATTGATTCTTTGGGGGTGTCACGAACGGGAGGAGGGGCGGCAGCCTGGCATGGGATCAACGGGCCCGGGAGAACCGGGCCGGGTCCGCCCGTAGCCCCTCTGGCTTCCTGGGCGTGCGGAGGCGCGGGAGGCGCAGGGGCTGGCGTCCGTGGCGGCGCGGGGCGCGTCGGACTAGGACTAGTCCCAGCTTGCAGGAGGAGCCCGCGGAGCCCCAGCCGCCGCGGCAGGTGGAGCAGTTTAGCTCTTTTGGACCCCAGGAGCCAGGCCCGGGGGCGCGGAGGGCGGGTCGGGAGGACGAGGCGCGCTTCTCATTGGTCGCCGGGCACCGCCCGCGCGCGCGCGCTCTGCCTTTATAAAGCCGCGCGCGTGGCCCGGCAACCGCACGCTTGATTCCCGGCGCTAGACCCTGCTCCACTCGCTTGTCCCGCCTGTCGGCTCGGACCCACTATGGCCACCGTTCAGCAGCTGGTAGGAAGATGGCGCTTAGTGGAGAGCAAAGGCTTTGACGAATACATGAAGGAAGTAGGTGAGGTTCCCCGCCATACGGCGCGGCAACGTGGCACGTGTGTGTGGCTGTCTGACCGTAGGCCTCCTTCGGCGTGCTAGGCTGAAAGGCTGGGCGTGCGCGGCCGCCTACCCCTGACCCCGTTTTCCTCCACCTCCCACCCTCATCGCAGTTTAGCAGCGGAGGGAGCGCCTCCCGCCAGCTCCGGATTCCCCGGACCGTCGGCCTCTTGATCTGCCCCGCACTCTGCCGCTTTCCCCGGGCCCACGCGACCCCTGCTTTCCTGCCCTTTAGCGCGCTCACTCCTCTTCCACTCCGAGCTTCTTTTCTTTCGCCCCTTCCAGGCGGCCCTCTTAACTTTCCCTAATTTTCTTCCCTCGCCACTCATCCGCTCTTGTGCCATCGTCCTCCCTCGCACTCGCCCGGTCGTGGCCCCACCCACTTGCCTTGGCCCACCTTGCCGCATCTTTTGTTCCCAGGTGGCGCGCAGGGTCCCCTGCCTCTTCTACACTAGGACTCGGTTTCCAGCCGAAATCCGGGCTACCGCTTCAGCTTCCATTCCGCTCTCGGTTGCATCCCCCCCCCGCAGAGCCCTTCGCCGCGTGCGTCGGGCCATTGTGGGTTGGCTGGGCTCCCCGGGTGGAGCATCAGGGCATCTTCTCTCCACGCCCCGGAGCGGGGCTCAGAGGCGTGGCGCTGGCGACAGTGACCTGGCCGGGTGGCGTGTGGGAGGAGCGCGGTGAGGTCGAGTGTACCCGGGGTAGCAATGCCCTGCAGCCTTCTACGTCTAGAGGGTGGAGCGCAGAGAGGCTTCGCTGGGAACCGCAGTCAGAAACTGCCGGTCCTTCAGCTGCTTTCCAACTGCCTCCAAGATGGGCGTGGCCTTGCCCAAGACACTTGATTTTTTTAAATTATTATTTTTAAAAAATTTTTACAGATTGTGTTGATTTCTGCCATACAGCAAGGGGAACTAGCCATGATTATGCATATATCGCTCCCTTCCAAGTCTCCCTCCCTTCCCCCCATCCCTTCATCACAGAGCACCTGACTGGCCTCCCAGTGCTACACAACTTCTTGCCAGTCATCCGTCTTACAGCTGATAATGGGTGCATGTTGATGCTCCCTTCTGCATTCCTCCCGCGCTCTCCTCCCTGACTGTGTCAATAAGTCCATTCTCTATATCTGCAGTTCTATTCCTTCCCTGCAGATAGGTTCATCAGTATCATTTTTCTAGATTCCATATATATGCCTTAATACTTAGCAACTCCACCACTGGGTATATGCCCTGAGCAAACCAAAATTGTAAAAGACACGTGTACCCCAATGTTCATACCATCATTCTTTAGGGTAGCCAGGACATGGAGGCAATCTAGATGTCCATCCACAGATGAATGGATAAAGAAGATGTGGTAGATATATATAGTGGACTATTACTCAGCCAGAAAAAAGAACAAATTTGAGTCAGTTCTAGTGACCTAGATGAAACTAGAGCCTGTTCTACAGAGTGAGGCACTTGACTTCTTAAAAGCCTTCCAAGGGAGGATGCGTCTCTGTAGGGAGATTCAAGTTCTCTCGCTCAAAATGGTGTTGGATTTTCTGTTGTCTGTTTCATAAGCCAGTGACAACGATAGAGTGCTGATTGCGACATTGGGTAGATTGGCAAAGGTGAACTTTTGTCACAGGCCCCTAGGAAGTGAAGCATAGCAAAGATTCTGTCTGACACAACTGCTGGGGCTGTAGGGCTGTTTTAGAAGCTGCTGCTGCAAAGTCACATCAGTCGTGTCCAACTCTGTGCGACCCCATAGACGGCAGCCCACCAGGCTCCCATCCCTGGGATTCTCCAGGCAAGAACACTGGAGTGGGCCGCCATTTCCTTCTCCAATGCATGAAAGTGAAAAGTGAAAGTGAAGTCGCTCAGTCGTGTCCGACTCTTCCCGACCCCATGGACTGTAGCCTACCAGGCTCCTCCGCCCATGGGATTTTCCAGGCAAGAGTACTGGAGTGGGGTGCCATTGCCTTCTCCGTTTTAGAAGCTAGCCTCCCGCAAATAGTAACTTTCTATTACCAAATGTTAAATGAGTGAAGAAGTCATTACAAAGACCTAGACCCCAAAGTACGCTGAAGTACTTCAGAAACACACCTTCTAGCTGATGGCTGGTTAAGTCTGGCTCTGGTGAATCTCGAGTGTGTTTATGATCCTGTGAATAAAAAAAGGCAGTATTTATTTTTTTCCCCTCTGCTCTATACCTTGATCAAGGTGAGTCTGGACAAAAAGCAACTAACTGCACTCACAAAGGAGGCACACATATGTGTGTGTGCACCTGAGTGAGGACCACAGAAGGCGGTTTCTCTGCCCGCTGAAACCGAACGTGTTTATCAGATGGATTGTTTCCAGAGTTCTGGAGTCAGGAAGGTTGTCAAGGTACAATTCATCAGAGAGCAAGCAAGGTGTGGAAAGAGCAGAGCCCTTTATTTGTCCAAAGTGAGAAAATAATGACTCAGCTAATGAAACAAAGCACCAGAGCCTAGCTGGAAAAGAGAAGGCTCCGCGGGGACATGTCAAGCCGGGCTGCGTGTTCATCATCAAGTCAGTTACTCTGCTTAGGCTGTGGTCGCCTCATCCATGAAACTGAGATTTGGCCTAGAACCAAGTTTCCTACTAAATGTTAATATTAGGGGGAAACACATAGATTATAAAATAAATGTATTAATAGAGTAATTTGAGTTACAGAGTTCTGAAATACTATTTGTGAGGGTAAGGTTTTTCCTGTTTGTTAGCATCATGATTGTGCAGTTAACTCTTAAAACTGCAATTTGAATATCTCAGGATTGATACTGATTTTGTGTAGTTTACTAATCAAATATTTATCAGGGACTTACATGCTAGACTATGTGCTGGAGTCATATAATTCAGTGGTTGGCAGAACTGAGGAAATTATAGAAGTCAGGATACCTTCCTTAAGTTTCTGAGGGCCAACATGGCATGATGTCTTAAAGCTGAGATTTAGAGCTAGACTGCCTGCGTTGTTGGTTCTCAGCACCTCCCTTCTTAGCTGGATGGGCTTGAGTAAGTTACATCAATGCCTCACTTATTCATCTGTCGGATGGAGACTATCTACCTCTCACAAGGCCCTTGCCTGGCTTCCATGAATAGTATACGTCAGGTACTAGTGCTTGGTAAGCGCTGGATATGTGTATGTTCACAGTTGTTACTGATGACCGCTGCTGCTGCTGCTAAGTTGCTTCCGTCGTGTCCGATTCTGTGTGACCTCACAGACGGCAGCCCACCAGGCTCCCCGTCCCTGGGATTCTCCAGGCAAGAACACTGGAGTGGGGTGCTATTGCCTTCCCCATTGATGACTGAATAGTTGAAAATATGCACAGCGTGGTGATTGCAATTGAATTACTGCTTTTATTATGTAAACGAGAACTTTGGTCTTCCAGGTGTCTAACATGGTATAACTTTCTACAGGAGTGGGGATGGCTCTGCGAAAAGTGGGTGCGATGGCCAAACCAGACTGTATCATCACTTCTGATGGCAAAAACCTCAGCATAAAGACTGAGAGCACTTTGAAAACAACACAGTTTTCCTGTAAACTGGGAGAGAAGTTCGAAGAGACCACAGCTGATGGCAGAAAGACTCAGGTTAATTATAATTTGTAATATCACAGAAGCTTGCAGAATGATTAACTCTATTAATAACATTCTTACTACTTTCAGGCCAGAACTTATGAAAAAGTCTCAAGTTGTTTTATGAATTGAGTTTTGACAAATTAGTGAAAATACCGATTTCACAACTTAATCTGTTTTGTAAAAATAGTTTTAAGGGACATCTAGATTGAAAAGCACAAACTACATTATGAATGAAATTAGTATGGTGAAATGAAATTAGTATGAATGAAATTAGTATAATGAGGTGAAGTAGACTCAGAAGGGAAAAAATAAAGAAATGTTGGTTAAGGAGGTTATAAGGAGTCACAGAAACTCTTCTTCATTGTGCTCTGGAAGATTAAAAAGGATACTCTATTTTGGCAGACTGTCTGCAACTTTACAGATGGCGCATTGGTTCAACATCAGGAATGGGATGGAAAGGAAAGCACAATAACAAGAAAACTGGAAGATGGGAAATTAGTGGTGGTAAGTGTCTGACATCTTATGTCTTATATAAATTCATAGTTCACATAAATGTTCTAGATCACTGATCATGAACAGGAGAACTAGGTTGAAGGAAAAAAAAGTGCCAAATAACAATATAAATACAAGAATACTTAATAACTAAAGAAAGCCCTTTGTGGAGCTAGAGAAGATGATATAGCAGGAGCTGGGTCTAGTCCATGTTCTGCTGCTCCATCTACAGTGCAGGCACACCTCAGAGATACTGTAGGTTCGATTCCAGACCACTACAATAAATGGAACATCGCAATAAAGTGAGTCACATAAATTTTCTGGTTTCTCAGTGCATATAAAATTTATATTTACACTGTTGTATTAAGTATGCAATAGCTTTCTGTCTGAAAAAACAATATACCTGCCTTAATTTTAAAAATACTTTTTGCTGAAAACAG